TTTCCCGGCAAGTTCTACCCCCACTCTCTGTGCCCAAGCCTGCAGCTTATAATTTTTAAGCGTATTGAAACCATAACAGCTCAGTGGTTACAGCATCGGTCTTTTATTTTGCTAGGCAGGGTTCGATTCCAGTCATGATAAAGTTTTTTTTTTCTCTTTTATTTGTTAGATTTGCATGTAATTATAATATTAACATGCCAAAAGTAATTGTTTACAACGATTTGATTGTTTTTTTCTCAATTATTTATGTAATTTATCGACGTCGAGTTGGAAAACATATGAACAGGGTTATAAACACTTTTTTTACTATAGCTATATGAACGTAGCTTTTTTTAAGCAATTTAGAAATATTTAGAAGTAGTTGAAATAATCCACGGGGATTTCCGGCACTTCGCCGGCAAACTCTATCCCTACCCTTCGTACTCAAGCCTGCATTATACAATTTATAAACATAACATAATATCAAAGATGATGTGTTAGCTCTGTGAGTAGAACACCAAGCTTTCATTTTACCGATTAGGGTTCGATCCCAGTCATAGCCTATTTTTTTTTTCCTTTTTTTTTCATTAAAATTTTATATAAATACAATAATTGGTTGTTTATATAAGTTCAAAATCAATTCCTATTGTCTTTTAAAGACAACACTTTCGAAAAAAGAGAATTCATAGTAACTCGTTCCTCACCCTCAGCTTATTTTCAGAAAAACAAGTTGTTCTCCGTAATTAATTGGAAGAATAATTTAATCAAATATATGAATTAATTTATAAGTATATAAAGTCACTTAAGCAAAAAAAAGAAAAAACAATTGCCTATGACTGGGATCGAACCCTGCCCAGCAAAATAAAAGATTGGTGCTCTAACCACTGAGCTATTGTGATTCTAATCATGTTAATGATGCTTGAAAATTATAAGCTACAGGCTTGGGCACAGAAAGTAAGGGTCGAGCTTGCCGGCGAAGTATCGGAACTCGCCGCGGATTGTTTAAACTATTTTTTATTGTTAATAAGTTGTTAAAAAAGGCTATTATCAATGTATTTGTACAAAAAAAGGTTAATGACCCTGTTCAAATATTGTCTCATTTGTCATCGATTGATTGAAAAATAATTTTACATAAAAATTGAAATTTAAAACTCATTTTCGGCATGATAAAATTGCAATTACATGCAATTTGAATTAAAAAAAAAAAAAAATTTTCCGCAATTGGAATCGAACACCGTTCCGTAAAATAAATGTCGAATCTTCTGACTACAGAGCCAACATATTTTCATTTGCTTTGTTTACGTTTAGATATCATAAGCTTCAGGCTTGGTAACAGAGGGTGGGGGATGCTTGCTCGTCAACTGTTCGAACTTGCAGTCTTCTCTGAAAAATAAGACGGAGATAGATAGATATATTCTGTGCTTTATCTTGCTCGAAACAGATTATTCAAAAATTTGTAAATTTCTTGGTGCCCTAAGGCTCCCTTTTTTGTAGTGCATCCCTGAAAATTATCATTTTTCGAACGATTTCCCTGTTACCTACTCAATTTCAATTGATATCGAGCTTCGGCTTTTCGCCGCACAACGTGAGGGCGTAAAGTCAACTCCGGGAAACTTTCTGACTTCAGCCCAGCCTTAATTTATAAAGTTCATGATTAAATACTCTTTTAGATAGTCCCTATAACAATAGACTATCCCCACTAAAACATTTTTGAACCTTAATTTAAATAATAATAATAATGATTTAAACTTACTTCTTCAGTTATCATGAAATAATCGTGCACATTAATAGTCATGACTATAAATGTTAGTTTAATTATAGTAATTATAAACTTAAGTTTATAATTGAATTATAATTATTATTATTTAAATTTATTCTTATTATTTAAATTAAGGTTCAAAAATGTTTTAGTGGGGATAGTCTATTGTTGTAGGGACTATCTAAAAGAGTATTTAATCATGAACTTTCTAAATTAATTTAGATGTGGAATCTCTATTTGAAAAAAAAACTACTCCATCGATAATTGCCCGGATGGTATCAAAGTTTTTGATGGACCAGGCATTAAGGCTGGGCTGAAGTCAGAAAGTTTCCCGGAGTTGACTTTACGCCCTCACGTTGTGCGGCGAAAAGCCGAAGCTCGATATCAATTGAAATTGAGTAGGTAACAGGGAAATCGTTCGAAAAATGATAATTTTCAGGGATGCACTACAAAAAGGGAGCCTTAGGGCACCAAGAAATTTACAAATTTTTGAATAATCTGTTTCGAGCAAGATAAAGCACAGAATATATCTATCTATCTCCGTCTTATTTTTCAGAGAAGACTGCAAGTTCGAACAGTTGACGAGCAAGCATCCCCCACCCTCTGTTACCAAGCCTGAAGCTTATGATATCTAAACGTAAACAAAGCAAATGAAAATATGTTGGCTCTGTAGTCAGAAGATTCGACATTTATTTTACGGAACGGTGTTCGATTCCAATTGCGGAAAATAATTCAAATTGCATGTAATTGCAATTTTATCATGCCGAAAATGAGTTTTAAATTTCAATTTTTATGTAAAATTATTTTTCAATCAATCGATGACAATGAGACAATATTTGAACAGGGTCATTAACCTTTTTTTGTACAAATACATTGATAATAGCCTTTTTTAACAACTTATTAACAATAAAAAATAGTTTAAAACAATCCGCGGCGAGTTCCGATACTTCGCCGGCAAGCTCGACCCTTACTTTCTGTGCCCAAGCCTGTAGCTTATAATTTTCAAGCATCATTAACATGATTAGAATCACAATAGCTCAGTGGTTAGAGCACCAATCTTTTATTTTGCTGGGCAGGGTTCGATCCCAGTCATAGGCAATTGTTTTTTCTTTTTTTTGCTTAAGTGACTTTATATACTTATAAATTAATTCATATATTTGATTAAATTATTCTTCCAATTAATTACGGAGAACAAACTTGTTTTCTGAAAATAAGCTGAGGGTGAGGAACGAGTTACTATGAATTCTCTTTTTTCGAAAGTGTTGTCTTTAAAAGACAATAGGAATTGATTTTGAACTTATATAAACAACCAATTATTGTATTTATATAAAATTTTAATGAAAAAAAAGGAAAAAAAAATAGGCTATGACTGGGATCGAACCCTAATCGGTAAAATGAAAGCTTGGTGTTCTACTCACAGAGCTAACACATCATCTTTGATATTATGTTTATGTTTATAAATTGTATAATGCAGGCTTGAGTACGAAGGGTAGGGATAGAGTTTGCCGGCGAAGTGCCGGAAATCCCCGTGGATTATTTCAACTACTTCTAAATATTTCTAAATTGCTTAAAAAAAAGCTACGTTCATATAGCTATAGTAAAAAAAGTGTTTATAACCCTGTTCATATGTTTTCCAACTCGACGTCGATAAATTACATAAATAATTGAGAAAAAAACAATCAAATCGTTGTAAACAATTACTTTTGGCATGTTAATATTATAATTACATGCAAATCTAACAAATAAAAGAGAAAAAAAAACTTTATCATGACTGGAATCGAACCCTGCCTAGCAAAATAAAAGACCGATGCTGTAACCACTGAGCTGTTATGGTTTCAATACGCTTAAAAATTATAAGCTGCAGGCTTGGGCACAGAGAGTGGGGGTAGAACTTGCCGGGAAAGTGCCGAAACTCGCCACAGATTGTTTAAACTACTTTTCAATGTTGATAATAATATGATTAACTTGTTAATAACATAACATTGTTAATACATGTAAAGATGTATAAGTATAAGTTGTTAAACACAGGCTATTATCAATGTATTTATACAAAAAGAAAGTTTATGGCTCTGTTCAAATATTTTTCGACTTAGCGTCAATAAATTCAATGAATAAAGAGAAAAAAAAATCAAATTGTTATAAAAGATTAATTATAGCATGTCAATATTATAATTACATGCTAATCTAACGAATAAAGTAGAAAAAAAAAAATTGGTTATGACTGGGATCGAACCCTGCCCGGCAAAATAGAACTCTGACGCCCTAACCACATGGCCAGCATAATCTCGATACCGAGTTAATGTATATTTGTTTTTACAGTACATGCTTGGATACGCCGACTTGGAATTGAGCTTCCTTATTAACATTTATACCTAATAAAAATGATAATAATGGATGAGTATATGTATTTGAAGTTATTTGCAGGTATTATATTAATTAATGTTAAATGAGTATCATCATTTTTATTTATCCTAACTGCAATAGTCATCAAAGTGTAGGGCATTGTAAAGTGATACACTATGTTTACATCACATACATATATTACCCGTACACACACATACAGAATTTACTCGCCAAATGCAGGGCACCATCAGTTCTGGATACGGATTGAGCATTTTTTCAATATGGATGACTGAGGTCATCTGCGAGCATAATGCTGTCACCTATCAGAATTTTTTCAAACTAATTTTCCGGAGAATATCATCTGGAATACAAGATTTCTAATTATTTCTAAATTATTAAATTTTACACTATGAATTGATTTTTTTAACATTCAGACAGGTGGCAAGGACTGACGCAAACACGAATTTTGGGCGAAAAACGTATAAAAATGAAATAATTAGTGATTTTTCATCTGAATGATGTGGCCGCCATCTTGAAATTGAGCGCGGCAAGTCAATTCATAATTTTTTCATTATTCTTTCTAATTTTTTTAATAAAAATATTCACTATATACAAAAAATTGTTGTTTATGTCAGTCCGGCATTAATTCCTCTGTAATTTGGTACCTAATTTTATAGAAATATTGTAAATTGGCGAAGAAATTAGAAATTTCCCGATCCCATGTATTGGATAGGAGGAATCAGTCGCCTTTCTGACTTCAGCCCAGCCTTAATGACGCCGAGTGTACTTGTGATAAGTACACTCGTGTTCATTAATGCCTTCCCATTACCATGGGAGAAATTACCGACCGAGACGGTTTTTTTTATATGAATTATTCCATCTATTATTTTTCAAATATTCTATGACTAATTCTCCTCCGGCCCTGCCCCCTCTTAAAAATAAATTTTCCTACTCCAAAACATCTTATTTCCCCTAATTTTAATTATTTCCCCTCATTTTTGACAGCTAACAAACATTTTTGTTTATAAATAATAAACAGTGTACAGTGTCAATTTTATAAATGTAAACATAACTCGTGTTGACATGTATTCGAGAGGCGAGTTATCATAGGATATCTAAAGATTTTTGTAAGTAATTATCAAATTTGAATTTAATTTAATATTACAGGTTATAATGTAATTAAAATATAATTGATATCAATTATATTTTATTATGATTTATCTCACTTTAGAGCCGGCTTTCAAGTACTCTTTGGAATTAAGCGATAGTAGTCAAAAAATTGATCAATTATGTGGTACATTCCAATGATAATAAGAAAAAAGAAGCAAAAAGTTATAGTACAAAAAAAATGATTAAAGGTGAATACAAAAAGGAGATAATTGTGTTATTATCGAAGATGTTATTATCAGTGGAGTAGTATTTTAGAAAAGACTTAACTCCAGAAGGTTTGAACGTTACTAAAGCATTAGTAATTATAGACGAGAACAAAGTGGCAAAAAAAATATAGAAATGCTGGTATTAAAGTAAGAAGTTTGTATACTCTTACCAAGTTAATGAAGTATCTTTTGAAGCTGTTAAAATTACTTTAGAAACGATTAAATTTTACGCCCTCGCTACCTGTGGTAACAACAAGATTTAAAAATCGATCATTCATGTTTATGATGTTTGATTCACATAAATGATTATGCATATTCGATCCATGTCAAACGATATAAATAGAACTTAAGACACAATGATAACTCTCCCACAGTTTGATATGAAAATGCTTAAACTATTTAATGACACTTGTATCCAAAGACAAAAAATCAATAGTATTTTCTCCACAAAAACTATATCGATCAACATTGAAACGCGATTATTACCAACGGTAGGTAATCAAATTTCCTTGGTAGGTAAAGTAAATTTCTTCAAGTAACTGATAAAAAATAACAGGCCTAAACTACTCTATTTTCGAACAATTGTTCTAATCTTATATCATTTATTTACCGAAAATAAATGAAAATTATCTATAATTCTGTTAATTGTGTACACCGGCCCTATTTTCATATATACTAAAAAAACATTTTTTTGGGGTTAACTCCATGAGCTTCGATCTGTTATGTGTCCTAGACACTGAGTTTCCGATTTACACAGACCAGAATAAATGAATTCAATAATATAATTGAATATAATCATATTAAAACTAAACAAATTAAACTACACTTTTATAAATTAATTACAAAACTCATAAAGAACTCTTTCTGTGTATATATCGAAAACAAATTTATTGAAATAGAAATAAACATACATGTAAGAGGAATAAAAAGTAATTTCAATTAACAGTTTAATGTTCACTTATCAAAAACATGAATACATTCGATAATTATCTTTATATCAAAACTGTATTAAAAAGCATTTAACTTATATGAATATAAAAATATTTTTTGCCGATATCTTATATTTTTTTTTTCATCCACAATTTTTTTTAAAAAAAAAAACACCATTATAGCATGTAAACATAAAAAAATAATCTATTATCAATTACTGCATGTAAAATTGTAATAATGAATCATTTCGAAATTAGATTCTTTTATATAAACTCTGAGGGGGTTTTTTTTTTTTTTTTTTTGGTTGATATCTATCATTTTAAAATTCAATAATTTTGACAATTCATTATTTATTATATTATGTCTCAAAATTATAAACCTATCTTGATCAATAATAGTCTATCTTAACAAAATCTGGATTACAACTAACAAATTCGGACTATGTTGAAAATTATACCGTTGTAACCTTACAATTTTATCGTCAAACCTTCTCAAGTACCATTAATACACAAAAATAAGTAAATTAAAAAAAACTTGAATAATGTTAGTTCATTACTTTTATAATACTTTTGTTGCTTCAGCAACAACAGAAAAAATGAAAAATTAGAAGCAAGAACGACTTTTCAACAATCGTTCTTAGAGCGATTTTATGCCTAAGAAAACTGTGCTTGTTCGTATCTTCTTTACCTGTTATATTTAACCACCCATTAAAGATAATCTAAAAAACTTATTTTAAGTTACGATTTTACCTTATACCTCAAATTAAAAACCACATAGTATTACTACTTTATTATTATTCACTCTGAAAAGGCCGCTGCTGCATAATCTATTAGATGCAGATTGAATAATTATTCAATTCGCCTCATTCAACCGGATTCAGCTCGACAAATAGGGATCTCAGTGGATAGTCAGTCTCTAGTGCTTGTTTCTCTTAACTCGTCAGTACACCTTTCACAACAATACGCAATGTCTACATGGTAGACATTCAGTTGTTACTCATTCCCAACACACCCTATGCCATCTTCCATCGTCGTAAGAATTACCTCTGAAATCTTTATATAACTTGGATAATTTTACATTGATGAAATTGTATATTATAAAAAATTGTGGTCCCATCTCACTTACCCTTCAAATAGTCGGTTTCGCCCATCTAATATGTTATTCAAGACTTTGGCGTCGAGGTATCCGTGACGTGCGTTCTGCTAAAATGCTATCGGGTAACTTCGATGTGCCTAATTATTATTACTAATTACCTAAACATGTCAACAGTAATATTCGTGTCCTCTATTCATCAACATTTCCTCCATTTTCACGATTATTCAAATTAATAATTTAAGGCACGAATTTTAATTTTCTAACATTTTAAATTGATTGAGTAGAACAAAAATTTTTTATTGCTCATTTTTTAATATATTTACCTCCTTAATTGTGTCCTCAGTGACTTCTAACTCTACGTATCTCTTTGCTTCAGTGTATTGTTGAAATGCGTTGAAATATTAAGGGAAGCGCCTGCTAGAAATTGTGGCATATTTCATCTCTTTTAATTCATATGTCTCCCCATATTACTTTTATTCTCTCATTTTGTAAAACATACGCGGACGTGGATGGCTCACTTGGTCGTCCTGCCCGTCGTGTCGATTACTCCAATTGTGCTGCATTTTCCGCTTACACATTTTTCAATATCTGCAATAAAACAATAATTACTATAAAATTGTTTAGTCTTAATGAGATAACAGTATTCATAAATTGATTAGATCTATATATTACCGTCAATTTCATTATAATGGATGACAACCACATCTGTAGTTCATATTCGCTTATATGATTCCGCGAAGTTATTTAGTCGATCAATTTCATTGTAAACGCTGATGATGAACACGTTCTGGGCGCATCCGTTGGATCCCATTGCCGTCTATAATAAAAATTATGAATGGATGCAGTAATGGCTTCTCAGATCCGGCGTGATAAACAAGCCAATATTACAGCTTCTCAATATTTTCAGCTGGCAGTAGATGTAGTGATAACAATAAACAATTTTTTTATTCTATCTTACTAATCCTCCATGCGTCTAAAGAACTTGAGTAGCTTTATTTGGCTAATTTCTCGGATGGACAGCCGATTGTACTAAATATATGGATAGGTTACTCTGGAAGTCATAGTGTGGAGATTTATATTGTGATGTACAAACCGGACAGTAATGGAAGCAGAGTAGTCAAAAAGACTTGATGTAATACAGCTGGATAACGTAAACATTCTACAGCCAGAGCGAGAGGCCGCTCAAAGTGACATGAGTATGAAGGATTGATTTGTGGTGCGATACAGTAGATAAACTAGGGCAAAGCACAAATATAAGCTGAATTGTTTTCCTCTCCATAAGGGACAGAAAATTGGAATTATTACAAAAAAAAAGTATTTTTTTTACAGTAATATTACAATTCTTCTATCTAATTATATAATAGCTGCTTAAAAAAATTATATAAAATTTTCAAATACATATCTGACAGTTGATCATTGGAATATAATTTTTACTTTTGTTAAATTTTATGCATTAAGAACCAATTAAACAATGACTCTATTTTAGTGCTCTTCGAGTATTAGCAGCTGGGAATTTGTTTTGATTTTAACTTACACCATCAACTGCAAAAGACGCAACTTCTTCTGTATCAGAACTTAACTCTATTAATTACAGTGCTCATCTAGGGCCTCTAACTGGAATATTATTCAAGAACCTCCTAGTTAGGAAGATAATGCCTGGATGAATTTGTCAAAGTCATTCCCGCAGATATGCCTCAAAAAATTAAGACCGAAAAATGATATCTTGGTCAAGAATTGTCAAGACTTTACAAAAGCTATTCTTTAATTTTCAACGAGACAAAATAGAAACACTACAGATAACAACTAAAATTTATTTTTATTAAAACATACTTCCTGGCTTCACAATTAATATTGACAAGTTATAATTGATAAACTCAAAAGAATAAAGATTATTATTCAAATAAGCTTCGGGTTCTCTAAAAAAACCATGAACCAGAGTTTTCCGTTATTTTGATTGTAATTATGACAAGCCATTCGAGGTTTCATTTAATGAAGCTTGAACTTTCTTGAAAAAATGATCCTAAAAACACTTCTTCAATATTATCAAATTTATTACCAGCGATTTGCGTCACGTTTCTGCAAGACGTGGTCAATTTGATTTTTTAAAACTTAGTTGGTTGTTCAAGATATGCCAATAAAGTTTATCAAGATGAGTGTCAACAATATAACGAAATGGAGATCACGACGAAAAACCAGTGTCATTATCTCTGTACTTCTAGAAGGGACCGGCGTTTTGAGATAACTTTATTGCTTAATATACACCAACGGAATTTTGTAGTCAATATTAAAGGTGATAATCCCAGAAAATAGAAAAGACTTTATGTTCGAGTCTTCTATTCCAACATCTCTTCAACCTGGTTAATCCACCTGTATCATTAAACTTTATTTTTTACCCTTTTGCTGAAGAGATTATATTGCATATCATTTTAAAAATTGTTGGTTGAATGTACGGCCGACGAGTAGAGTTTGATAAACTTGTACTCTTTGTCGCCAAGAATTGAGACTCAAAAAGTGTCTGTTTTAAAAAAGCGGCATTTCAGATTGTTTTCACTGGTCTAAGTACTCAATCAACTACTCAAAACCATATGAATTTGTTGAACAACAAGAAGAGCATCGATCATTCGTTGTTAATAGTTGGAAACAATAGTTGATACTTTTAATCAGAGCCATGCTCAGAAACTATATTAATGATCCACGAGTGCCTTGATAGCTTGACAGCTAATGATGCAGGTTGGTGCAAAATTAGCGAGGAATACTTTTTACCAAACTACAGAATAAGAAAATGACGCTAAATTGCAATTCTTCGTTTAAAGTGAAATGCATGTTGAGAATACTATTTTCACTTATTGTGTCTCAATAATGCCCAAGATAGAGAATAACTGCAAGGAAACCTTGGGCTTCTGTGGGACT